CTGAACTTTAAGTTTTTTACTTATTTTTAAGAAAGAGAGTGCAAACGGGGAGGGGCAGAGAGACGGAGAATCTCGAGCACACGCCACACCGTCAGTGCAGAGCTCGACACAGGGATTGAGCTCATGAACCAGGAGATCATGACCTGAACCCAAGTCAAGAGTCGGAGGCTTAACCGACCGAGCCATCCAGGCACCCCAAGCCTGAACTTTTAAGAGCACAGAGACAAACCCCAAAGCCTCAGAATAGATGGGTTTCCCCTCAGCCGAGGTTTTCAGACAGGGATAACTAACCATCACAGGCTTGCGGGGCTTCTTAGAAAAACAAAGACAGAAACACTACAAAGCAACAGGGGAAGAATCATTTCACTTACTTGAGGAGAAGCAGTTCCGTACTCACACACTGCGGACATCTAGCAAAGAAAACAGACCTGTGTTACAATCTCCCTGCCGCTCAGCACAATCCTAAGCCCAGGGCAGGAGCGGCAAAACCAAACATGCCAGCCGCGTCTGTTCAGAAGGTCTCTCCTTACACACACCAGAAGGCCTCTTCAGACACGTCGCCGCCGGCAGCTACTTCTGGAGGGTCCTTTTTCAGCCTCAGAAACCGAGGCTGGGACTGTACCTGGCGAGGAGAAATTGCAAGAGAAAAACCTGCTGAAGATACACACGGGTACTCTCAAGCAGCTCACTTTCAAATCAGACCTGAATTTTCCAGAGAGCCAATCTGGGAAACTGAGTTTCAGACATCCACATTCCACACAGAAAGGCCTTTCTTTGCCTTCAGACAGGGATAACTTTACATCATCACGGACTCAGCTCCCACCAGCCAGCCAAGTTACAGCGCAGGCAGTTACGTCCCTCATTAAGTATTCTCAAACTTGTGTATTAACTTTCCTTCAAAGGTAAAAACTGTTGACACCTAGTGCCTAGATGTACCCAGCATCCCAGATCTGACTCAATGACACTTCCTGCCCGTTAGTTTTAATTTTTTTCTAATGTTTATTTTTGAAAGAGAGAGAGAGAGAGAGCACAAACAGGGGAGGGGCACGGGGAGAGGGAGACACAGAATCCGAAGCAGGCTCCAAGGGCCTCAAACCCATGAGCCGGGAGATCATGACCGTGCCTAAGTGGATACTCAACCGAGCCCCCCAGGTGCCCCCCTGCCCTTTAAAAGACAGGTTCTACCTGAGCAAAAGTGCCTGAGAACGGAGTATGGGGTTTATCTGTCGGGAAAATGCTCCAGACAGTGCGGTTACTTCTTCCAGGAAGCCCGTTCAAGGCCAACTGTACAAAGGGGACCTGCTGCCAAGAGGCAACATGACACAAGGTCATTTCTCCTTCGCTCACCTATGCGTATGAAAGGATCCACAGAGCAAGATCAGTTTTTTAAGTAGAGGATTACAGATCTGCCCCAAGAGCTACTTAAAAATAGCCAGGGCTATAATCTTGCTGCAATAAAAATCCCTGAGCTAAAAGTAGATCAGATTGTCTAATTTCTCCCATACAACTGTTCTTGAAACAGCCACACAATTCTTGGGCTCACTCCAGGGCCACGCACACCCGTGGCTGGAGGTGTACATTTAAACACTTTGCAGGTAGTTCGGAGCTATAGCCAGGTCTGGAAAGCAGTAACACTGTCTGACAAAGAGAGAAAGCTCTGGTGGGGTTATCTCACAACAGCCTGAGACTAGAGCCTGCATCTTTCAAATTCATCTAATACAAGGTTTCATCAACCTCAGCTCTGAGGTTCTGGGGAGATAGTCTTTGTCGTGGGGGGCGGTCTTGGGCATCGCAGGATACTAAGCATCCATTAGATCCCATTTGCATCCTCCACCCCCCAGCAGAGAACCACCGGTATAACCGCCACCCCCCCCCCACCCACCAACTGGTCTAATCGGACCTCAATTATCCTTCAATGAGACTGAAAAACGGTTTTAGCACCCCCACACAATTTGCCCTATTTTTATGGTTCTTTAAAAACAAAACAACGATAAATAACAGCTATGTAACTCTAAGCCTCAGTTTCTTTACTCAGCAGCAAAGGAGAAAGTAACTACTGCACATAAGACTTGTTAGAAATCGTTTGCTGGGAGACTGTTTGGGAAGGAGCCTAGCAGGGTTCCACACCACTTCCCTTACCCAGGCGGTAACAATCCTGGGAGGCTCGCATCCCTGAAATCTAACAGATGGGACACTAAAGGGACCCTAACTGATGCAATTCTGGCAAAGAGCTAAGAAGACTTATTTCCATTAATAGAAATTTCATCACAAAAACCCTTACACTCAATGGTTTTCACCGGGGCGCCTGGATGGCTCAATCGGTTAAGCATCCGACTTTGGCTGAGATCATGAGCTCCCGGTTTGTGAGTTCCAGCCCCTAGCCACGTGTTGGGCTCTGCACCGACAGCTCTGAGCCTGCTTCAGATTCTGTCTCCCTCTCTCTCTGTCCCTCCCCTGCTCATGCTCCCAAATTAATTAAATGAACATTAAAAAAAAAAAAAAACCCAAACCTGGGGTGCCTGGGTGGCTCAGTCAGTTAAGCACCAGACTTCGGCTCAGCTCATGGTCTCATGCACGGTTCATGGGTTCGAGCCCTATGGCAGGCTCTGTGCTGACCACTGGAGGCCTGGAGCCTGCCTCAGATTCTGTGTCTCCCTCTCCCCCTTCCCCTGCTCACGCTCCCTCTCAAAATTAAACACACATTAAAAAATAAATAAACCCCAGAACTTTAAATCATCTATAAGAGAAACACGGACAACCTATTTCATCCTAACAGAAGCAACGTTAAGACGTTCTCAAGATTGGTTATTTAAAAAGCTGAGCCTCAAGGCATCAGAACTCTTCAGAAAAGATGTCCTTTCACACAAGGATAACTTTGAATCACGCACAAATATTTCTAAATCCCACCCCCCACTGCAACCAACACCCATTTCCCGAGTCTGTCTTCTACCCCCGTATGCAGCAACCATTTTGGTTCCAAACAGTGACACCTAGTGGCCCCAAATTACACTGGCACAGACCCTACTCGTTTCCGGATTCTGGGTCCATTTTTCTCACCCTAACTGGATTTATGCGTCGATGTGTCCATAAAATTAAACTTAAAATCAGAATACGGGGTGAGGCGGCCGAACGTGACAGGCCTGCACATCATCTCGACTTTCTCACTTCTGGTGACCACCCAGGTCCTGCCGGCACCCATTCTTACCCGTTTCAGGGCTCCATCCGTCACTTTTAAACTTCAACCTGCAGGTCTGCTGCTCGCGGTCTCCGCAGACTCCAAAGAAAAGCCTGTGGGGAAGGGAAAAGTGAGCATGGACGGTTCGTTGTAAACTTACGACTTTCCAAAATCTGCAATCCCACTTATAACTGTAGGATGGAATAAAAACTACGGAATGGGGCCGTTCACAAGACCCTCCAGGAGGAAGTACTCGGGTGCCCTCTCCCGGGGCGGCCCTGGGAGACCCGCAGGGCCGGCACGCGGTGGCTGTGCGGCTCACCGGGCTGCGCAGGCTGGAAGAACCTCCCTGAAAAATAACCCAAAAAAGGGCTTGAGCTCTCTCCCACCAACCATTAACGCTCGAACCATTCAGAAAGCGTTCTTTCACCCAGCATCTCAACGAACCCCAACCACGGCAGACGCGACGCCGGTTTATCGTGGCCTCTGAAGAAAGAGGGGGGGAGGGCAAGTGAACCAGCGTCGGGTCAAGGAAGACCCCATTTCCCGACCACCGCAGCCTTACCAGCACCAAACACCCGAGACTGCTCGTCGCGTTCGGGCCAGACAGAGGCCGCCATGACTCCCAGCCACGCGGCCTGCTTCGAAGAGAAGGCGGAACCGCGCCTGCGCGCAAGTCTTCGCGGCAGTCTCGGCAGGGCTCTCGCGATGCTGGGGAAAGGCTCATGGGAAATGTAGTCCAAACAACCGTCGCTGGGGGCGGCCGCAACCTCAGCGAGAACCTGAAGCTGCGGTGGCCGCCACCAGGGACAGTAGAGAGCCTGGGCTGGGAGGCCTGATCTTTGAAGAAAACGAAGATGGACGGTTGTTTCAGTTACAGCCATTTATCTCGTGTCCACGGATTGTCCCTGGCCAAGACTGGGTTGGCTTACAAAGTGGGGGGGCGGGGCTGGGGGGCTCACGAGGGAAATGGATAAGGAAACCGAGGCCCGGCCGGATTTCGTTCTTAATTGTCCTGCGGAGTTCACCTTGGGCGGGGAGGGGTCATCTGGGTGATGGGTTGCGTTAGAGAAGGGGGTGCTGATTCCCGGGGCACTGTGGGGCGTCGGGCGCCGCAGCCGGTGAAGCTGGGGCGGGGGGCGTGGAGGCTCCGGCGGCAGGGGGCGCCAGCGAGCAGCTATCCGACTGACCCTCAGCGGCTCTCGCCGCTCTAATTGCGACGGGGGAGCAAATAAATTATGAAAACTGGGAATGGGGTAGCACCCACCGCCCCTTCTGACCGCTGTTTTTCAGGCAACACTCTGGCTCCGTGTTTGAAGTAGCAATCGGGAAAAACAACTAGAGTCAGGGCCACAATTTACACCTGTTTGGAAATTAAGTTTGCAAGCCCGGGAAACCTCTTCTGCATTAGCCTCTCCCCATTCTCTTCGACCCTTTTAGCAAGGTTCTCAGGGGCATTTAGTCTGGGTTATATTTTTCTGTATATGGCCGAATGTCGCAGGCGCTTATCTTCATGTTACCACATTTGTTTATGTTTGCCTCCCTTAATTTTGATTGTAAGTTCTTCAAGGCAGGAGACGTCGCTTTTAATTATTTTTTTTTCTTTTTTAATTTCCTCACAGGGCCTCGTTGGTATTCCGCTGCCTCTGCCGGCAGTAAGCACTCAACAAATAATAGTTGACTCACTTAGCAGTAACTTCTGTCATGTGAAATTGACTCTTAAGGGTCTCTGTCTTGCCCTTAAAGGCACTGTTTTGTGTATTACTAAAGGGAAGCGTGGGTTCCCTCCCTGTAAACTAAGTTCCTTTCATTTCAGACTTGGAGAGGGAATTTTGAGGGTAGAAGTTACGAGAAGCTGCTTGTCTGTCGGCAAGCAACCTGCTGCAGGCACAACATAGTAATAGCGAACACTTCATAGCACCTACTATGTGCCATTCACGACTTTTGGACCCTGTGTGTGTCGATTGCTTTAATCTGCACCACCGCCCTGTGAAGTGTGCCATCACTACCCCCGTTTTCCAGAGGAGGGAATGCAAGCATTGAGAGACGAGGTAACTTTCCCAAATTCACACAACTAGTAATTGCTGGAGTCAGGGTTTGATCTCAGCCCTGCAGAATCCATGCTTTTAGCACTAAGTTTTACTGAACTGCATATATCTATACATCAGTCATATTACAGGGCTTTGGGGTGTGGGGGGAGGGGAGCAAAGAGGGGTTTTGTGTGTTTGTAGGGGTGGTTAGGGATGGAATCGGCGGGCGGGTTGGGGGGGCACCTGTTCCATGGTTTTGAGCCACTTTAGGGCAGGAGGGGTGAGGATGGCAGGCTGCAGGGGGTGATGGGTACAAGACTGAGGCTCTGGGCTCTGGCAGGGGCGTCTTGAGTCCCAGACCAGTTGCCACCTACTGTGTGGTGAGGGGCCCCTGTGCCATGGTCCACGGTGTAACTTTGACACCGACAAGGCACTTAATGGAAGAGCAGCAGGCTCACAGCGGGTGGGCTGGCACGGGCGGCTGGGCAGTGGCCAAGAGGACAGAGCAAAACGCAGTGAGCGGGCTGGTGCCAGAGCACATGTCGGGCACGCTGCCCGGGCAGTCCAGAAATCAGTGGGAAAGACAACAAAGGATGCATCAGATTTCTGAACTAGCAGGCAGGGGTTCAGAGCTGTTGAAACCAAAGTGGTAGTGTTGTGATTTCTTCTGTGCTCATTGTTGGTGAGGTCTGGGACGTTAGAGTTTTTAACGTACGGTGGAGAATTATTATGTAGCTGTCAGTCAAGGCTAGTGTGGCTCTGTATTTACTGACGTGGAAAGAGTCACACAGTCTAGCCGTAAGTGACAGAAGTAGATCACAAGCTGCACAGAGCCAAAGTGCTGGTCCAGGACCTTGGCTCCGAGCACCGGGGTGAAATGCAGTCAGCTGTCCTGCTGTGTTCAGGTGGTTAGCTTGCCGAGTCCCATCCACTGATAAGATTTAAAACATGGTGTCTGAAACCCACATGAATAGGAAACAGAGTCTTTGGAATACTGAGGTTAATTTCTTAACCTGGAAAGGAAATCTTTCCCGTCATCAGCCAGAACAGAAGGTGGGTAGGTTTATCCCAAGCAGTGGACTGCTTACACTGTGAACAGTGGCACCACGATTTATAGGAAGTTCGTCTGTGCAGCAGCACCATTCATCGCCAGCCCACAGCTGTTGTTTCTACATCTTACAAACGGAACAGAGCTACTGGATGACTTTGTGCTCCAGTGGCGGGAAGCTCCTCCCCAGCCCTAAGGGTGAGTCTCGATTAGTCTGCACCAGACCCCCTTGCGGTAACTCTATTCCTTCTGCCAGGAATTCAGAAATGGGTTTGTGATGCAATTCTGCCAAGTTGGGGAAAGTTTTCTTGTTTTGAAAAACAGCAGCCTCTCTTCTGGCTTTGGGACACCGCGAAGATGTGATGCTCGAGGCTGTGGCAGCCATCTTGCATCCGTGAGGCTTGCTGCAAAGCAAGAGGCCAAAATCTGACCCGGCAGAGTGGAAACCAAAAACGTAGAGTCTGCGATGATGAACTGCTGAAATCCCAGTCCTGAAGCCCCCTACCTTCAGACCTTTTGTTCTGATTCAGAGTCACATATTTTTGCATTTTACTGAGTTTCTGAATGCGAGAGGCATCTTACAAACAATGGCATGTTAGTTTCAGTGACACGCAGAATGTGCGATTTAAAAAAAAAATCTCCTTACTGTTTCGGCCATCTTCAGTTTGGTGTTCTGTTAGAGTCAAAACCATCCTAAATTATCTGATCGACATGTCCCAAATCTTTTTTTTTTTTTTTTTTTTAAATTATAACTCTCCGAAAGAACGAGTCAGGGCAAAATAAAAGGAGGGGCACCTGGATGGCTCAGTCAGTTAAGCGTGTGACTTCAGCTCAGGTCATGATCTCACAGTTCACGAGTTTGAGCCTTGCATCGGGCTCTGTGCTGACAGCTCAGAGCCTGGAGGCTGCTTCGGATTCTGTGTCTCCCTTTCTCTCTGCCCCTCCCCTGCTCAGGCTGTCTCTCAAAAATAAATAAAACGTTAAAAAAAAAACAAAACAATAAAGTGTACCCTATTTACGGAGAAGAGGCGACCTTGGCATTGCAGTGGGTTCTTTCCTGTGTTTGCCAACAGCAGGCATTTCACTTGTCTGCTTTGAAGAGCTGTTGCCTCTCATAAAATTATTGCTTAATGGGTTCTTGAAAAATAAGGGCGTATGTGAAGAATGTGTAATGTCCTGTTGACCTCTTCTGCTCTTTTCAGGACACGTCTCTCCATTCCCAGAAACCCTGCCTTCTCACGACTATTGCCCAGCCTTTGCTTATACTGTTTGTTCCCTTTGCCTTGAAATTTCCTTCCCTTCATCCTCTTCTCTGCTGAGCAAATTCCAACTCCTATGTCAATACCCCCTCCACAAAGTCTCACCTGAGAAGCTGCAACGGTCCCGAGCTCTTTCCTCGGTGTTCTGTCGCAGGCTGGTTTAGCACATGCTCTGCACCCAGACAGGCTTGGAGTCGAGCCCCAGCCCTGCTGCTTCTAACTGAGTATCCCTGGGCAAATGACCTCCCCCTCTGTCTCAGCCTCTTTTCTTTTTATTATTTTTTTTTCATTTTTATTTTTTAATGTTTATTTTTTTATTTTTTAAAAATTTTTTAATGTTTATTTATTTTTGAGACAGAGAGAGACAGAGCATAAACGGGGGAGGGGCAGAGAGAGAGAGAGAGAGAGAGACACAGAATCGGAAGCAGGCTCCAGGCTCTAAGCGATCAGCCCAGAGCCCGACACGGGGCTCGAACTCACGGACCGCGAGATCGTGACCTGAGCTGAAGTCAGACGCTCAACCGACTGAGCCACCCAGGCGCCCCTTTTAATGTTTATTTTTGCGAGAGTGAGAGAGACAGAGTGCGAGCAGGGGAGGGGCAGAAAGAGAGGGAAACACAGAATCCGAAGCAGGCTCCAGGCTCTGAGCTGTCAGCACAGAGCCCCACGCGGGGCTCTAACTCATGAACCATGAGATCATGACCTGAGCCGGAGTCGGACGCTTCACCAACTGAGCCCCCCCAGGTGCCTCTCAGCCTCTTTTCTTATCTGGAATTTTAGAACAGTACATGCAAAACGCTTCCACGGGCCTGGCACAAGGGAGCACTTTAAATAAACAGAACTCTTGTGGCGCCTGGGTGGCTCAGTCGGTTAAGCGTCCAATTTTTGATGGTTCGTGAGATCGAGCCCCGCATCGCGTTCTGTAGTGATGGCTTCGAGCCTGCTTGGGATTCTCTCTCCCTCTCTGCCCCTCCCCTGCTTGCTCACATGCGCGCTCTCTCTCAAAATAAATAAAAATAAACTTGAAAGGGGCGCCTGGGTGGCGCAGTCTGTTAAGCGTCCGACTTCAGCCAGGTCACGATCTCGCGGTCCGTGAGTTCGAGCCCCGCGTCGGGCTCTGGGCTGATGGCTCGGAGCCTGGAGCCTGTTTCCGATTCTGTGTCTCCCTCTCTCTGGGCCCCTCCCCCGTTCATGCTCTGTCTCTCTCTGTCCCAAAAATAAATAAAAAACGTTGAAAAAAAATTTAAAAATAAAAGAATAAAAAATAAACTTGAAAAAGAAAGAACTCTTGTTATTTGAGCATACTTCTTATGATGCTCACTGTCTCGTGATTATTTGTTTCCACCAGCCTGTGAGCCAGACAAGGATCAGGTCTTCATTGATTTTTTTTTTTTTAACTCTTTAAGTCATCTTTATTGAGGTGTAATTTACATACAATCAAACGCATCCATTTAAAATGTACGATTCGATAGTCCAGTAAGTGATACACCCGCGTAACCGCCACCCCAGTGACGATTTAGAACCCTGTCATCGCCCTGAAGAGCACCTCTGGTTTTATTTCACAGTCTCCAGATCCAGCCCTGGCCCCAGGCAACCACTGATCTGCTTTCTGTCGCTGCAGATTAGTTCTGCCTGTTCTAGAATCTCCTATAAACAGATTCATACAGGAGGGTGTTCTTTTGTGCCTGGCTCCTCGCGGTGCCCCGGGTTGTGGCCCACAGAGTGGTTCGTTGCCTTTTTATCGCTGACCAGAATTCTGTACAGCCCTCGTTTATTCATTCACCTGTTGATGGATATTTGGGTTGTTTCCACTTTGGAGCCGTTATTAATAACACTGCTGTGAACACCTCTGTACAAACCTTGGTGTGGCCCTGTGTTTTCATTCCTCTTGGATAACTTGCTAGGAAACAGCCAAACTGGTTTCCCAGCAGTGTCTTCCAGGGTAACAGCTGCTCCATACCTTCACCAACGCCTGTTATGGTCTGTCTTCTTACGCATTCATGTGAGCGTGCACTAGTATCTCAATGTGGTTTTCATTTGCATGTTTTTTAATTTGCATTTAATTTCCTTGATGACTCACACTACTGTGTATCTTTTTTTATGCGTTTATTGGCCGTATGTATACCTTCTTGTGAAGTGTCTATTAAAACCCTCCCCCTTTCACTGGGCTGTCTTCCTATCGAATTGTAAAACTTCTTTGTATATTTTGGATACAGGTCCTTTCTCAGATTTTTGCTTGGCAAATAGTGTCTTTCCAAGAATTCGATCAAGTCCAATCTTTCCGTGTTTCTGTGACGGTTAGTGCTTTCTGTATTCTCTCCAGAGGGCTTTTTTTTTCCTCCATCGGATCACCTTCCCCGTGTCTGTTTGGGGATCCCACCGACGTGTGCCTATCCTTAGGAACGCCACACTCTCTTGAGCTCTGATCTCGTCTCCTCACCCGGACAAGACCACTGCGGTCCGCTTGGTTTCCCCTCCCCCTGCCACAGGCAGGGAACAGGCAGATGCCGAGACAGTCCTGGGGTCACCAGCCTGTGTGCTGCCTGTTGTCAAGCGTCTGTTTCTTCTGCTTGGCCCAATTTCCTGATTGTCTGTGGCAGGAATTCTTCATTTCTGCATCCACAGTGCCTGGCACACAGGCGCTCCATAAACATTTGCCGAGTGGGCGGATCACTGCCAGCATCTCCAAAGACAGTCCATTATAGTCTCTTTTGACCGGGACAGTCTGGAGGGCCCCCAGAGGTCAAGTGGTCCATCGCCTTCATTTTACCAGACGGTTCTTTCTCTGAGGGTGGTCATGAGTCCTTTCCACCCTGGCACCAGCCCACTTGGGTTCGACTCAACACATGCCTAGTAAATGGGGAGACTGAGGTCCGGGAGAAGGAAAGGTCATGTGACCAGGCAGTGGCTGAGCAGGCGCGACTGGGCTCCCTCGGCCAGGATCTTTCTGTCGTCCTCACTGGCAGGTCGGGCACTGTCCCCCTTCATCGCTGGCACCTACCACAAGGTGCGTAATGTTGCAGGCTCCCGGTACGTGCTTGTTAAATAGATGGCCAAGGAACACGTTAAATAATTTCTTTTAATGCATCGTTCAGCCGGCTTCTGCATATGGCAATAAACGCGTGTGGGCGCGCACATGCGCTCACACAGACACACGCCTGGCCATTCCTATCCAGGTTCAGAGGTCATAGTCGGTCAGTAAATCTTTTTTGTTTTCATTTTCTCAGCCACTCTCTAATCTTAAGCCCCACTAGGGGGCATATACCGCACAGAGAGGGTCTGCAGTCCTTGGGTACAAGGACTTGTTTCCAGCTTAAGTCCCCGGGGGTCCCACTCCACGACGCCTCCTCCCTGAAGCCCCGCACCCTCCCCCTGTAAAAATAAACAAGGCCTTCCTTCTCAGCCTCCTCCCTCTCCGGCTGGGGCTGGGCCGCTGCCACCTTCCTCTCCCACCCCCAGGGCTCTGCCCCCGCCCCACCCCCAGGGGTTGAAGGCAACAGCAGAGCTTGAGTGATGACCTCAATGTCTGTCATCCCTGTGAGCCGCCATGGCTTCCTCCCTGCAGGGGGTGACAGATTCCCCCAGGATCTAGCCTTTGGGTGGGGGTGGGGTGGGGTGGGGCAGAGCCTGGTTCAGCCTAGAATGATGCATCAGGAGTAGCCCTGGTAATCCCATCCCCCCCCCCCCATCCACCTGCAATGGCATCCCTGGGGTGGGGCCACAGCTATTCCCGGTGCCCTGGTTGTCCTCAAGCCCAGACTCAGTCCTCCGCCCCCCAACACCTTCACGGGGCTTCACTACTAGCTGTGAGTGACCTTGAGCAAGCTCTGTGAACTTCGCTTTCCTTATTGGGTGAATGATAACAACGGTTCCTGCCTCATCAATGAGACAATGCATATAAATAAAGCACCTGGCCCACTGCCTAGCACATAATAAGTGTTTGAGACACATTAACATTAATAATATTATTGGTATCATTATCATATTACCGTAAACCTTGGCCATTTTCCTTCTTTTCGGGCTCGCAAAGAAGCATTACTTCCCACTGTCGCAAGGCCTTGGGCTTCTTCCTAACAGTGACGTCCTATAGAGGGTCCCTGGGAACCGCCAGGGCCCTGCTCTCGCCTGGTGCCTGCCTCAGATCGGGAGCCACGCCCACCTAGTCTTGGGCCAGGGCCCCTTGGGCGCCCTGGCCCAGGACCACCCTGCCCGCATCCGCACAACCGCACGTTTGGGATGGGCGAGGTACTCCCCGTGGTCACATCCGCGCCCTAAGGTGACACAGGACAGCGGCAGCTGCTATGTCTGCTTCCCTTGCTGCCCCCCGGGGCGCCCCCCCCACCTCGTTAGCTCTCTGGTCATGTTCCAGTCTCCGGGAGAGACTGGCAACAACCCTGAATCTCAGCCACAGAAGCAGCAGACAGCAGCCCCTTCCTGCTCCCAGCTGCTGCCCTCGGCCACCCTGCAGCTCAGAGCAGTCTTTTCCCTGTCACTCAGGCTCCAACCAGCAGAGAGATTAGCATACAGACAGAGGACAGAGAAGCATCAGGGCAATCACCTCGTGTCTTCTCTGGGAACAGAGATGCATTCGGAAAGTGGAACCAGTTGGAGGGGAGGTATCCAGGCCAGGACTCCCACTGGAGGCTGGGACGGGGTTCGAGGCCCCCAGAGACAACAGTGATGCTCCCTCGTATGGCCTGACTGGGTGCTGGGAGCTGGGTCTTACCAGGTGCCCCTGTGCTGTGCTCTTTTTCAAATATATGTATGTTTTTTTCAAATATATGTATATTTTAATGTTTATGTGGTTTTTTTTTTTTCAACGTTTATTTATTTTTGGGACAGGGAGAGACAGAGCATGAACGGGGGAGGGGCAGAGAGAGAGAGAGACACAGAATCGGAAACAGGCTCCAGGCTCTGAGCCATCAGCCCAGAGCCTGACGCGGGGCTCGAACTCACGGACCGCGAGATCGTGACCTGGCTGAAGTCGGACGCTTAACCGACTGCGCCACCCAGGCGCCCCAATGTTTATGTGTTTTTGAGAGAGAGAGAGACAGACAGAGCATGAGTGGGGGAGGGGCAGAGAGAGAGGGACACACAGAATCCGAGGCAGCTCCAGGCTCCGAGCTGTCCGCACAGAGCCCGATGCGGGGCTCGAACCCACGGACCGGACCGTGAGATCATGACCTGAGTCAAAGTTGGCCGCTCAACCGACTCAGCCACTCAGGCACCCTTCCTCTGACTTTTTCAGAATTACCCATCGCCCCACTGCTGTGATTGCAGAGAGACAGGCAGGAAGGGCCACGGGGTGAGGAAGGCAGCGAAGGACTAGCTATTCGGAACCTACTGTGGTTGCGACCTTGCCTGTTCAGTAGGCGACAGGTCACAAACGCTGTCACCCCGGCTCAGATACATTGAACGCCGACTGTGTGTGCTAAGCACACTCTCCGCGCTATCTAACAATAGCTTCCCTGTTACCTTCCTCGTATGAGAAACCCCAGGCAGGGCTGTTCAGGAACCCACCCAAGGCCACAGAGGCGGGAAGTGATGGGGGGAGGCGAGATTCAAACCCGGCTCTCTGACTCCAGACTCCCCGCTCTTAGATCCCGCATTGTTATTTCATGGTGGCCAGCGCCCTGGACCAGGGGTGCCTCGGCTCTGTCTCTCCGGTCGCCCTTAATCCCCTCCTTCCTATTATGGTCAGTCTACCGAGCCCCCCCCCCCCCCCAAGTGCTTCCCTGTCCCCATTCCCAAGCAGCAGCTCTTTCCAAGGAAACGGGGTGGGGAGAAGGACTCGGCCTTTTGGGGACACCTCGGGTCCACCCCTGCAGCGGGAGGGAGATAGTGGGCTGAGGAAGGAGCGCCTCAGGCCCGGGCAGCCTTCTGTAGAGACGCTCTCGGCTGAGGGTGGCAACTTCCTGCAGCAGGAACGCAAATGTGCTGGTTGTGCACAGCGCCCAGGGGTGGGAGAGGCCCCGGGAATAAGAGGCGAGCGTGGGCTGGGTGTGTGGGGAAGGTGTAAACACAATCTGCTCCCACCAGAGCCAGCCTGCTCCGTACGGGAGAGCACCCCCCCCCCCACCCAGCCCACACAGCGCTCCAGCTGCCAGGGTCCCCTGGCAGCCGCCGAGGCCGGGCGAGAACACATTCCCCACCCCCAGCACCCCTTCCCCTGGCTTTCCCTCCCCTCTCCTGGGACAGAAGCCTGCAGGGGCCCCCATCCCCTGAGCAGGTTCCTAGAAGAGTGCTGCGAAGGGGTGTCGCTTCGTGGATGTGTGTCTGGGCCGCGAGCCAGCCCCTGTCCGGCCAGGGTGACCTTGGCCTGACAATGCCTCAGACCAGTGGAAGGAGACAGGGCAATTTGGAAGTGGCAGGGAGCAGAGGCGAGGCTGCAGTGACAGGAACGTGGCGAGCGAGCAGAGCACAGGACGAGCTCAAAGGTAGGATCGGGGAGCGCAGGCTGGGTCCCCGGAGCAGTGCCCCCCCCCCCCCCCCCCCCCCGCCACCGTGGCCCTCAGCCTGACAGTCCTGTCACCGGGGAAGGTGAGGCCTCGCAGGAGAAAGACAGGCTGACGGGAGCTGAGACAGGTGGTCATGAACTCCTGGGCCCGTGTCAGGTGGGCGGTGGGGCTCTGTCTCGTTCCAGCACAGAGCTCCTTTCCCTGGTGTGACCCTTCCCCTGACTCCGCCCTGCCCTACTTCTAGAGGCTTCCACTGCCAGGTTCCCCCGCCTTACCAGCGGCCCCTCCCCCCTGGTTTCAGCGTGGGTCCCCTCTGTCTGCATCATCTCCCCTCTCCTTCCCTCAGAGGTGGAGTCAGGGCCGCAGAGGGACGGCTGTCTAGGGAGTTCCCCAGCTGCTGCCTCCACAAGGCAGGGCCAGGGGCCCGGCCAGGCTGAGACTTCCCTGGTGGGCAGTGGGGGCTGGATGGGGGGGAGGGGACACGTGTGGGCGGGCACAGGGGTGGGGGGGGGGGGGGCTTTGGAAGATGAATGGCTTCCAGACAGCCGGGAGCAGTTGCCTGCGGGGTCTGCGCCTGGATCTCAGGGAGCAGAAGCGGAAATTTGCTTTTATCTCTGCTCCGGATCGGGCAGGACTGCGAAGAGAGAAATGGGAAGAGCAGCTAGGGGCAAAGGAGGCCACTGAGCAGGCAGCAGACTGACACAAACAAGGGTCACGCCCTCCCCCCTCTCTCCCCACTTGCCACTGGCCCTTTGGAACACGCGCACGCGTGCACACACGCGCATAGAAACCCACACTCGGGGGACAAGCTGAGGGATGCCTGCTCGCAGCTGCAGGCAGACATGTCACAGATCCAACTGGCATTTCCTCCTGATAATCTCAGCCGAGCAGCAGTGAGTGACAGGGGGTGAGCTCTAGGGACCGGGGAGAGGCAAGTGCCACAGGGAAGTGAGCGCCCCCGCGGCAAACTGAGATCACACGGCCTGGGACCACAAGCTTCAGGGGGGCTGCCCGAGGACCCCTTCTCTCCCAGAGTGGCTGCCTGGGCCCTGGGGGGTAAGAGCGTGGGCTTAAAGCCTCCATCTGAGGCTGTGGGAGGGGGGTGTCCCCCAGTTGGGTGTCCCCCCCCCAGCTGGCTAGATGACCCTGGACAAATTCATTCACCTGTGTTTCCTCGTTGCCAAAATGTAGATAATAACATGCCCGGTCTCCTCGGGTCATTGCAAGGATTAAATTTGTGAACGTGGGGCACCTGGGTGGCTCAGTGGTTAAGCGGCCGACTTCAGCTCGGGTCATGACCTCGTGGTTCACGGGTTCAAGCCCCGCGTCGGGCTCTGTGCTGACAGCCTGGAGCCTGCTTTGGATTCTGTGTCTCCTTCTCTCTTTGCCCCTCCCCCGCTCATACTCCGTCTCTCTCTCTCTCCCTCTCAAAAATAAATAAACGCTAAAAAAAAATTTTTTTTTAAATTTGTGAGTGAGAAACCCTTCCATAGTGACCATGAGCCATCAGCAACCCCGCGGTTCTGGGGCTCCTCACTCCCGACCTATGCCTCCCCGAGCCCGGGCTGCTGGGGTTGCCCCAGAGTTGATCCAGCAGACCCCACCAAGTCCCTCTCTGGACCTCAGAGGAAGGGAGCCCATCTCAGAGCAATAAACATCTCTGCCCCTCCTGCCTGCCCCAGCCAGGCCTTGCCTCGGGAGCGCCACGACCAGGGCCTGGGGTGAAGAGAGGCCAGGCAGGTCCAGGGGCAGAAAGGGAGGGCTCTACATTCTCCATTGCTGCTTTTTCCCATTTTTTCTTCTTGCTGCTGCTGCTGCTGCTTCCAAAGCACCCTTTGTGGGGAAGGGGGCAAACCAGGACTTGAACTGAAACAGAAGACCAGGCCAGATGAGCACTGCCTCCCATGCCAAGGCAAGAGCTTGTGTCGATGCAGAATGGATATTCCAGAGCACCACCTCTCCTTTACAAGTCCTCTGGCACTACCCTCAGGCCCCCTGCATGACCACCACCTCATCCCCAAGCCTAGAAAATGCTGTCAGGATCACACGTCATTCCCTGAAAACTAACCCTTGCCCCGTGGCCTGGACCACAACGGGCTCAAGGTAGGAGTGGATGGGAGCCCACCCCCCTTATTCTCAACCTCCATCGATGACCACAGAGCCGAAGGTGGCCTGCTCTGCTCCCACACGGCCAGGCCTTGCAGAATCTTCCTTCCTTGTCCCCAGCCCAGCCTTCTACCCTCCAGGGCTCACAGCCCTGCCCTACCTGCCTCTGCCAGCTGATCGCAGTCCCCGGGGCCGAGCTCTGCCTGAAGAGATGAGGACTTACTTCGGAGGCTCTTTCTCCCTAAACAGAAAAGCACAGTAGTCAGAAGATTGAAGGGGATGGCCTTCCCGTGTTTCTGGACTTCCTCTTCCTCCCAGCCCATGCCTAGCGATTCACCCCACTACCCAGGGGGTAGGAGTGGCCGGGAAAGCAGCTGGAATTGGAGAGCAGAAATTTCAACCCCTGTGCCGCCCAGGCCAGACCTTCAGAGCAGCCACTATAAGCAGGACGGGTTAGATGTTGGGCCGATTTTTCCAATGAACTGAGTCCTGAGGAGTTAACAGGCAACTACTCCCTTCCAGCCAGACCAGACTGGGCCAGGCCAGGCCAGATGGTCCAGATTCGGCTCTGTTCTCCTGACAGGGGGTCCAGGCCCATTTGCTGCAAGGGACATAGACTTGCCTGAATTCAGGGACCTGTCAATCCGCATCAGCCCCAAATCAGATGGATGACCTTGAGCGAGCAATTTACACGCCACGTCCCTCAGTTTCCTCCACATTAACGGAGAGATAGAAACACCTGTCTTGGGACACCTGGGTGGCTCAGTAGGTTAAGTACCCAACTCTTGATTTTGGCTCAGGTCATGTTCTCACGATTCGTGGTTCAGGTCCCGCTTCGAGCTCTGCGCTGACAGCACGGACCTGACCTGCTTGGGATTCTCTCTCCCTCCCTCTCTTTCTGCCCCTCCCCGGCTTGTGTGTGCTCTCTCTCTCAAAATAAATTAATAAATTAATGAAAGAAGAAAAGAAAAGAAAAGAAAAGAAAAGAAAAGAAAAGAAAAGAAAAGAAAAAACAAGACAAGACAAGACATGTCTTGCCAACCCTCTGGGACTGTTGAAATTTCCAAGCGAGTTAATACACGAGAGACCTCTGGGGAAGAAAAAAAGCACCAATCAAGTGTCACGTAACAAGAGAACAGCCAGCATTTATTAAGCAGCCGTGCCAAGTGCTTTACGATTCTCTTAATTTCAACCTCACAAACCCCTTCACACCATTCTCTTACTAATCCCAGTTTATACGCCACTAAAAAGATCACGTAACTTTCCCGGAGTCTCTCAGTCAGCAAGAGTGGAGTCAGGACTTGAACTCTGTGCACCTGCAGACCCAAACTCAACAGGGAGGACCAGTCACGTGAGAGCCTCCTCTGTGTGAGGCCCGGTGTCCGTCGTTTTGCAGCCGTCCTCCCGTTTCACCGGTACGAGTACTTGGGCACTATCGTGACCATCTCAGCTAGCCTAGATGTCAAGGAAGGGCATCACAGGAATGCCGGCTTCCGGCACGTGCCCAGAGCTTTCCCAGTGGGCCTGCTGACATTCAGAGCCTGGGGGAGTCCCAGCACCAAGGAGGAATTAGGGGCCACGCATGGAGAGAGACTCATGTTCTCATGGCTCGCCAGTCCCTGCGTGTCTAAGGGGTGCTGCAGGCAGGTCCCACACCCGGAAAGAGACACGGGGGCGCATCAGCAGGCAGGCATGCTGACCGGCACAGCCACCTGAGCCCTGTGGGGAGACTCCTTCCTGCCAAGGGCCCTGGAGCCCAAGCGCATCATGCTCTTTGTTTCGCTAGGGGTGAGAGGCGGCTAGTCGACCTTTTGCAGGAAAGAATGTCACTTCACACAGGACTCCCACACTAGCCGGAGGTCCCCAGGCACAAAAGAACATGCAAAACAGTACGTTCTTAATAAAGATTTGTTGCTTTTTCAGTGTTGTTGGTTTGTTTTTTTATTTTTTTATTTTTTGATGGGCGTAGGAGCCCCTGTCATCAAAGGACACTGGTCACCCAGGGAAGGAAAAACCCAGAAGTTCCCAAAACTTCACCCCTTGTAAAGGCCACATGGTTTCAGCCCAGGGAAGAGTTAACTTTCTGGCCACTGGAGACAGCGTCCTGCCCGCAGGGGCTGCCCAGCCAATGGCACTCAGTGCCGATGATGTCATGCTCTTCCTGCGCCTTCTATTGGGGACCGGACAGCGAATCCCGCTAGAGGTTCAGGCAGAGGAGTCGCTGAGGCTGAGCGGGGGCAGCAGGAGAGGGGGAAGGGAAAGCGAGCAAGGCAACGCAGGGCTGCCTCTGCCCCATCCCTGTCTCCAGTCCCCCTGCGCCTGCCTGCCGCTAGAAGGGACCCTGGGGACCAGCCCACACTCGGACAAACAGGCAGAGCAGCTGTGGTCCAGAGGAGAGGCTGGGGGCTCCCAAGGCCAACTGGAGAAAACAGACGTTGAGTCTGCCCACCAGGCACACGGGGAACAGGGTGGCTGGGGCCAGGGGCCAGCATACAGCGTGCGCGCACACACTCGTGGTCCTCCGCAGGCTCGGACAGGGGCAGGGAGAGCGGTAGCTTCTTTAGACGCACCCTCCCTCCTCCACCCCACGTTCTCTGCTGCCTTACCTGCCTGAGGACTGGAGGTCTGTGTCCACGTTGCTGCCCACGACCGCCCCATCGAGTCCGCTGGGCTCTCTGTGGGTGGGAGAAACAGGCGGGAAGGGCTGTGGGCAGTGCCCAGACCCAGACCCCCTCTCTCCCGTGGGACCCAGCCACGCTGGGCTGTGGCACTGGGGGCTTCGGCCAGAGTCTCTGAAGGGCCGCAAACTCCCCCCTGCTCTGAGGGGAAGCCCCTCAGGGACTCCCGGCAAACCCCCCTCCCAGCCTCCCTGGAGGTCCAGGCAGCCTCTGCCTGCCTTTGGCTGGGCTCTCGCCCCAGCCAGTGGATTCTCCCCACCACCACCCGAGCCCATGGCCCAGTCGGTCTCTCACGGTTGGACCCGGTTGGCGAATCGGCGGCGCCAGAGCATGGCCAAGGTGCTGAGCAGGAAGAGGGTGGTACACATGGCTCAGCCGCCCCATCCCCTCCCAGACGGGGTCTGCAGAAGAAGGCCGAAACGGCCCGCCGGCTCCCACAAGCACTGCTGGGTCTGTCCCGAGGTTCCTGCTGGTGATGGATTAGGAGGCTCAAGCTGATTAGTGGGGTCAGCAGACCCGACCTTGTGCAGACTGATTAACCTCGCTGGGCCCAGGCTGTCCCCGACCGTGGCAGCGTAAATTCACCTGTCTGTTCGGGATGTGGATGGGATGTAGATGTGACTAGGGCCTGGGTCTGGCCCTCAAGCGGCTTCTCGTCTAGACACATGCAAAGGCAGGTGAGGTAAATGACCACAATAGAGTGACTTGGGTGAATGAAGGCATCTGCAGGGGGTTGTAAGCGGCAGGGAAAGCTTCAAAGAGGAGCCGGGGACATCTGAATTTGCAGGTGCTCAAGGAAGGTTGGGCCCCCAGAGGGAAGACTGCCAGCGCTGCAGACCTGAAAGCACAAAGCATATTCCAGCAACCGGAAGTTGATGGGCAGTGGAACCATGATGTCACGCGGAGGCTTCAGGAGGGGAGGAAGGGAGGAGAATGTTAGATGATGAAGCCAGGAAGACAAGGGAGGCCAGAGAGTAAAGAAGGGCCGGCTACGTGACTCGGTTGTCCCCTCTGGACAATCCTCTCCAGATGTCACTGATGACATACCCTCTTCCGTAAAGACCGAGTTCAAGTGGGCACTCCTGAGATAGGTAGTCACATCCGGTTAAAAATTATATACCATAGTTCCGTGCAAACACACTCCTGCCCCGTAAACACAGATAAAACTTGTAAAGGATGAGATAAAACCAAACAGAAAGATGATTTCTCCTCCTTCCTTTCCACATCCCAGTGGAAACTCTTGGGCCGCCACTTGGAAGGGCATGGCACTGCTCTGGGTGTCCGATCAGAGGGGCTCAGTGAGGTGGCCCAGTGCGGTGTGCTCGGTCTTGGCCCAGGCAGCATGTGGAGCAGACATGCTCTGAACATCCCCTCTCCTCCATCCCTCACCAAGTCCTCCAGAAGAAGGCACTAGATCTTCCTTCCCTCAACTGAGATGGAGGCAGTGTCAGGGGGTCTCCCGCCCAGGATGCCAGGGAGGGACCTCAACCCTGAGCTCCAGGGAGGGCCCAAGCTGGGGCTGCACGTGGGCTCTCTACTTCCAAACGTGATTTTTTTTTTTTTTTTTTTTTTTTTTTTTAGTTTTTAATGTTTATTTTTGAGAGAAAGAGAAACAGACAGACAGTGAGAGAGCTGGGAAGGGGCAGAGAGAGAGAGGGAGACACAGAATCTGAAGCAGGCTCCAGGCCCTGAGCTGTCAGCACAGAGCCCGACATGGGGCTGGAACTCACGAACGGCGAGATCGTGACCTGAGCCAAAGTCAGCCACCCAGGTGCCCCCAAGATTTTTTTTAACATTTTTAAATGCTTATTTATTTTTAAGAGACAGAGTGCAAGTGAGGGAGGGGCAGAGAAACAGGGAGACACAGAATCTGAAGCAGGCTCCAGGCTCCGAGCTGTCAGCACAGAGCCCAACGCGGGGCTTGAACCCATGGAATGAGAGATCACGACCTGAGCTGAAGTTGGCCGCTCAACCGACTGAGCCACCCCGGTGCCCCATGATTTTTAAGATAACATTACCCAAAGCCTAGGGGATACATTGCCCCATTACATTACCCCATTAAGATACATTACCCAAAGCCAAGGTCTTCTGATACTTGCACTGGGACACAAAGTCTTGAGAAGGGCAGAGTCTCCAGGCGCTAGGAGAACAGGCATCAGGCTTGGTCTGGGAGTCAGAGGGGGGACCGGGCTGTCCCAGGTCCAACAGTTGCCTGCAGGGTGGGGACCCTTTGGCTCTCTGAGGCCCAGCCCCCACCTCTGGTCCAGTGGCGCTCACACCTCTCTGAGCAGGGCCGGCAGGACAAGAATTTGTCCTCTCCACTCCCAGAACCCCTTCCTAATCGGAGCCTCGGTAGCTGAGATGTCTCCAGCGGCCTGGGCCTCCCCAAGATTTCTTGACACCTTTCTCCCAGGACCTCTTTGCCCGGCCGGCTGCCTCTTCTTCGGACTTTCCTCCACCAGGGTCGGAATTCTGGGCAGCGCGTGTGGTTTTTTGTTTTTTGTTTTTTTTTTTGTTTTGCCTGCCCGTGTCATTAATAAGCCACCCAGGGACTTTTTTCCGACGCCTTGGACGCCTTGTGCACGTACCGAGGGGGAGGGGGTGCTGGCCGGAAGGAAAGGGGGCCGCAGGCCTCTGGCGCTGAAGTTGGACAGCCGGCCCCCATCCCCGCGGCGGTGGATTCCAATAAGGGATTGGAGCAGGGAGGCGACCCCAGTCCTAAACCCTCCAGGCCCGGGGGTCCGCAGCTCTGGGGGTGGCGCCGACGCCCCCAGCGGCTGGCTCGGGGGAGGCCGGGAGTGAGCGTGGGCTCAGCTGGGATCCCGGCGCCGCCGGAGGGGCTGCGTCCGCCCCCTCGGGCGGGAGGGCGGGCGGCCACGCCGCAAATGCCTGGGAGTGTTTGACTTTGAGTCAGTTCCCCGCCGCGTGAAGGGTGCACACACGCACACGGCCCGACACCGCCCGCAGCGTGAGCGGGGACACCGTGCCCACCCACCCGCCCCCCGCACCAGCCTGGGGCGCACTCCTGTGCGGCCCGCGCAGCCCGGCGCCGCGTGACCGCCCCCTCCCCCCCGAGGCCCCCCAGCGCTCCCACCACACCTACGCCCCAGCCCCGCCCGGCGGTCAAGGTCCGCGGTGGCCCGGCGGGCGCCAGCCGCGTCGCCCCCACCCCGCCCAGCCTTCACCTTGCCGGAATTGGCTCACCGACGCGGGGTTGGGGGTTTGGAGCGGCTTTATTTTTTTTAACATTTTTCCAGCAGACCACATCCCCGCCCCCCGCTCGCGGTCCCCCGCCCCCCGCACATATACCCTGCACACACACACACACACACACACACACACACACACACCCGGCGCGCACAGACAGACACGCTCCCTCCCTCCGGCGCGCTCTACCCCTCGCTCGCCAGCCCGCCCGCCGCGCACGCAGCCGGCCCCGGCTCCCCGCGCCCGGCGCCCCGCGCCCCGCCGCCGCCGAGCGAAGCCGGGCTGGGCTTGGAGCTGCTCATGGAGAAAGTGCCGGGCGAGATGGAGATTGAGCGCAGGGAGCGGAGCGAGGAGCTGTCCGAGGCGGAGAGGAAGGCGGTGCAGGCTACGTGGGCCCGGCTCTATGCCAACTGCGAGGACGTGGGGGTGGCCATCCTGGTGAGGTAGGTGTCACTCCGGCCCCGGCCGAGCCCCAGTCCGGGGGAGGGCGGGCGGCAGCGGCTCCAGGCAGGGGCGGGTTCGGCCCCGGGTCCGAGCTCCTGAGCTCCTCCGGCGCCACCTCTCCGGCTGAAATTGGGGCCGGGCCTGCCCGGGTGTAGGCAGCGTGGGGCTTCCCCGGGGTGGGCGAAGCCCTGGCTGAGCCCGTCCTGGCTCTGGGCGAGGGGCTAGGAACTAAGAGGCAGACACAGGAGGAGGACGCCTCTGTCCCCCTCCTCTCCCGGGGCCTCAGAACTCCTGGCCGTGCCTTCCTCACCAGCGACCCCAGCCACCCAACCCAGCTGTCACAGGCACACGTTTCACCCACCCTTCGTCGGGGGCTCCCCATTTTAGAGGCAGGAACACTGAGGCTCAGCCTGGAAGGCGGGCAAAGAGGAGCAGACCCCTCTCTCCAGCGCAGCCCCTTTCTGTGTTCAAAACCTCTTGGAAGGACAGAGCCAAGGGCCAGAGAATAGAGGTCAGAAGGAGTAGGTCACAGGGGGGGTCCAGTTTTCCCAGCCGGCCCCTTCCTGCCCCTAGGGGCTGGGAGGGCAGCAAGCTCCCAGGTGAGGCACAGGTGAATGGAGAAGCAAGCAGTCCCTAGGGTACAGTCCCTGCTGAGCTTGGTGGAGGGAAAGGAAGAAGCTTCAGGAGTCAAGGCTCCACCCTGAAACCACCACTTGGGGAGGAAAGGCCATGTGTCTTGGGCTCAGAGGTTATCCAGGTACCACATGCCCCTGAAGTGACACTTATTTACACATCTACAGGCCCCGTAGACACATACCGTTCCTCTATAGTTAATGTCCCCAACCCCCACAAGCTAGTGACTGACTATAGCTGCAGATTGATGCTCTCTTCCCACACGCGCTGGTCCCCGGGGCGGGGGGGGGGGGGGGACCGGGACCCGCAACTCACCCTCAACCCCCTGTCAGCAGCAGAGGGAAGCTGCCGGATCTCCAGCAGAGTAGGGCAGTCTTACTATTTGGAGCTAGGGTGAACCCTTGCTTGTGAAAAGGAGAGTTGAAATGCATGCCTGTCTCCCAGTCCTGGCCCGGCTTTGGCTCCTGTGCCTCCCCGACGCTCTCTCCCTTCTGCCTCCCCCAGGCCTGGGACCTGCCCAACTCCATATTGATATGCCCTGATTCCAACTTGGAAACAGATTTTGGAGAAAAAAGAACAAGAAGCACTCTTGAGTGGCCACTTCTTTGGGGGAGGATTCTAGAGGAAGGGATATGGGGATGTGGGCAGCTCCGAGGCCCAGAAACACAGGGGGGATGGCGGGGAGACCAAGAGGGGGTTTCAGATCCCGAAGCCCTCAGACATTCTGAGGCGCCGACCTGCACGTGGGAGCACCCACACAAGCACACTGTGGGTCGTGGAGTCACAGATGCACCAGACTGCATCCCTGGAGGGTGGCTCTTAGCCATGTATGCTGGCACACGCCAGCCCACCAGGCCTCAGGATGCACCCGGTGAGCACATGGGTCACCCGGAAGAAAGGAGGTGGAGTCCACGGGACCCTGGAGATTTTCTGTCCAGATACCTTGCCCTTTGCCAGGGAGGACGTGGAGGGGACGTGTCCAAGATCCAGCTCCTGGGGTACCGCCCAACTTCCCCAGGAATGGGGGGGTGGGGTGCAGAAGAGGGAACTGACCACTAAGGCCAGGGCTGTTTCTGGAGAGGCTGATGTCTTGGCAAGATTTCCTTTCTCTCTGTGCCCCTGCAGTTCCCCATTCCCGACTCTTAGGGAGGCTGGGTTTGGGCTGGGGGAGGGGGGCATTTACCAATGTACTCAGTGCTCAGCGAGAGGCCCACAATTAATCTGAGAAGGCCCGAGATAGCAGTTAGGTCTCGCCTGCTGGTCAGCCCAGGCCACACTGCACCTGACCCCACCTCTGTGCTGACTGGAGCCCAGCTCCTGCCTGCCAGCCTCCCTCCTCCAAGCCACACCAGCCTTCCTCTCCTGGGTCTCTTCCTGCTCTCTGCCCCATGACCTGCCAGTTGGGGGAGGGCTGGGTTAAAGGGGCTATAAGGGATAAGCTTCTCAGGTGTCCCAAAGGCCCCTCCCCAGTTTGTCACGCCCCCCTCCCCAACTTTACTCACATCCACAGGGACAGGCCCCAGTGAGAGCCTGAGAAACTGGTCTGACCCATCACTCTCAGGTCGTCCCTCCCCACTGGGCTAAGGCCAGCCGCACCCCCACGCCCTCCCCCCTCCCCCTGCCCCAGGAGTGAGCAGCCACGAAGCAGTGGAGTGGCGGTGGCCGGTGGCCGTGGAGAAGCAGTCTTGGAGTCTGAGCCAGACCCCGCACCTGCAGTGCGACCGCCCGAGCTCTAGAAAGTCTCCCCTCCCAGCTCTAGAAAGGCTCCCCTCCCGGTTGTAACTCTGCCGCCTTCCCCCTCGCACTCAGACAAGCCTATTTCAGGCTCTCCTGGAAACCCAGATGCCTCTGGGAGCTGAGAAACTCCCCAAGGCTGACTGGGAGGGTCGAGAGTACACGTGGAAGGGTGGAGGGGCCGGGGAGAGAAGCCCGGATGAAGGAACAGAGCACACGACCCCTAGACTCCCCTGGTCCAGCGCAGCCGCTCCCTGGGACTGTCACTTCTCGGGGGCCACAACCTGGCCCTGGGTGTTGAGGCAGGAGACCCATTGGGTTCCAGGCCACCATCTCCCTGGCACAGCCGCCTCCCCGAAGGCAGGATGGGGAAGCCGTCGAGGCAGGGACCGTCTGGGTTCTTTCCTGGCCCTGCTACCCACTTTGCTGGGCAATCTTGGGCACGGATTCCTAAAACAGAATGTGGCGATAAAGGCAGTGGCAACCTCAGGAGCGTTTTGCAGGATTAATGAGACAATCTAGTAAGTGCTCAGTGAGTATTCCCTGCTATTTCCTCCTCAGTGAAATGGATACAATGCCTGCTTGGTCGAGGCAATTAAATGAAATAACAGGCTGGGACGCTTTGCATATTGTTACACGCGCGCCGGGCGAACAGCGATCATTATTTTTATTGCGATGTGAAACGCCCGAAGTCTAAGATACTCATTTAAGTCCAGATTGGGCTGTTTACATTTGTCCTTCATTACAGGGCCTCTCCAGAAAAATCCAGTGTATTTTCAGCCTCATTGCCTCATTTGGCCCCCACCAGAATATCTGTGAAGTATCGAGCCAGAGGATCTCCTCTCGCGCGTTTGCGGACAGGAGGTTGTGAAGTAGTTTGCCCAAGGTCACCCTGGGTCTCCACATGGACTGTGTCCCCGTCACTCCCCCCCCCCCCCCCCCACCAGCAGGCGCTTTGTCGCTGGGAGGGATGGCCTGGGCCAGATGCCTTACTCTCTGCATCTGTTCTGGGCTCTTTGGCCAAAGGGCTGATTTGGCAAATTATCGGCTTTCTCTGATCGCAAAGGGGGGAGATACCCCAGGGGTGTGAAACAACCTGACAAAACAGGCCCAAGACATTCCATCCCGTTGTGGGAAGTTCCGATGGAGCCTGGGTGTGACCTCCCACCACAGCCAGCTCTTCAGTATCATCCTGAAGGCCACAGGGCCCTGGGCCCTGAGGTGATGGGTCAGAGGGTGTGTGAGAGCCAGGCTCTGCTGTTGGGTTGTGGGACCCAATCCAACAGGCAGAAAGGAAAGAGTCCATAAAAGGTGTCAGGGAACCCCTAATGGCCTTGAGGGGAAAGCAGTAGTCCCCGGGGAACAGCCTGGGCACTCTGGGAAGGCAAGTCTGACCAGAGGAAGAGTAAGGAAGACATTCCACTGTGTGGACAGAAAGGCTGGCACGCTCAAGGAATGTTTTACCCGCAGTACGTGGGCTGCAGGAAGATGGCTGGAGTTGGGACGGTTTAATCCCAAATTAAAGGACTGGAATCCCGGATTAAGGACGTTGACTCTGGCCGGTAGACAATGGGGAGCCGGTGAATGTTTTTGAGCAGGAGAGTGACCTAATGAAAGTGATGTTTGACCTAATGAAGTGTATTAGACAATTTCAGATAAGCCAGGGAGGGGAGGAGAGAGCTAGGAAGACCTGGGGTCTGCCCCCAAGATGTGCGCAGGCTTGTCGGAGAGTTGTGAAGTGATTACAGAACCGCGCGAGGTGGGTAAGGTGAGTCAATAGCTTTAATTAAATCACCCAATCAATATGTTCTGCAGGCCGAGGAGGGAAGCAGGTAGTGAAGAGGGAACAGACGGAGCTGGCGGGAGGACTGGGTCTCATTGCTTCTCTCCGTTGACCGGGTGACCTGAGCTAAGTCACTTGGGCTGTACTTTGTTCACAGAGAAAGCCCTACCTTTATCGTGATGAAGGCTGGCATTTACTGTGCTGAGGGCTCCCCACGCGGTCTCTCCGTGCAGCCTCATAACAAGCTAGGAACAACGATGCCCATGGCATGGATGGGGAAACTGAGACCCAGAAAAGTGAAGTCACCTGCCCCGGGGTCGCACTGGCCCGAGATCCCAGAACTAGAGCTCCTAGTGTCTCTGCTGTGACTGGAGCAGGCGTCGAAGGGCGCGTAGGGTCTAGAAAGGAGGCCAGAGCAAGGAAGGCAGAGGCCTGAGAGACAGAGCCGACGGTCTGTGCAAGTCTGGCCGACAGAAATGGCCAGGACCTGGGTGGGGGGCTGCATGTAAGCCTGCTCGGCCAGACGGAGGGCCTGTGTCCGAGAGACAGCACCCGTGGTGGCGAAACAATGACTGGTCCTGCCTCTCCCACCCCGCACCCCCTGTATCCTGGCCACCTCGGGGCGGGGCCGGGCTGCCCCTCCTTCAGCGATCACCCACCTCCTGCCAGGTTCTTCGTGAACTTCCCGTCCGCCAAGCAGTACTTCAGCCAGTTCAAGCACATGACCGAGCCCCTGGAAATGGAGCGGAGCCCCCAGCTGCGGAAACACGCCTGCCGGGTCATGGGGGCCCTCAACACTGTCGTGGAGAACCTACATGACCCCGAGAAGGTATCCTCTGTGCTCGCCCTTGTGGGCAAAGCCCACGCCCTCAAGCATAAGGTGGAGCCCGTGTACTTCAAGGTACGTGGCTGGGTGGGTGCGGCCACTCTAACCACCCACCTTGCTTTGCTCTGGGAACGCTCGGGGAGGGGGCAGCAGAGGTGACCACTGGGCAGCCCAGCTTCTTCCCCTGGGGTGGCTGTGACAGCGAGGGGCAGCAGGATTGGAGGGCAGCCGGGGCTGGGTCTCGAAGGTGTCTGGTCCCCACAGCTGCCAGGCTGCTGTGTCGGGAGTAACGCCCTCGGCCAGACGCTGGGTAGAAGGGGTGCTGCGGGCCCTGGGAAGCTTCGGGGAGCAAGACGCCCAGGCATCTACTTCCCGCTCCTCCCTCTGCCCCCAGATCCTCTCCGGGGTAATTCTGGAAGTGATCGCCGAGGAATTTGCCAATGACTTCCCACCAGAGACGCAGAGAGCCTGGGCCAAGCTGCGTGGCCTCATCTACAGCCATGTGACTGCTGCCTACAAGGAAGTGGGCTGGGTACAGCAGGTCCCCAACGCCACCACGTGAGGAGGGGTGAGGGTGGGCCGGGCAGCCTCCCTGCTGTGTCCTCCCCTGCCCCCTGACCTCCCATCTCTCCTGGGGCACTGGAGCTGACTGCTGGGGCGGGAACCCTTCCGGGAGGCTGGGTCTGGGGTCTGGCACCCTTAAGAACAGGCACGATGGGAAAGGCACGGGCCGGCTTGAGCCCAGGGCGCCTGCTCGAGGCTACTCAGAGCAGTGAGCCTCGGACAAGTCCTCCTCCAGGAGAGCCATCCCGCTGCCTAGAACCAGAGAGCACCCACAGGGCCCAACACCAATGCGGCCCAAGGCAGAGAGGGAGGGTCTAGCAGCAGCTAGAGGTTCCTAGCAGGAAGGCTGGCTCATCGAGCCCAGAGGCAGCCCAGGCCAGCTCCTGCAACTTCCTCCCTAGGTACCAACCACGTGGGGGCTGTTTTTCATCTAAGGCTGACCAGTGCTCCCCGCTGCCTCTGCCTCAACAGGGCTGGAGCCAGAGAATCACAAGGACGTGTGCACACACGTGCACGTGCCCAGGCCCACGAGGGGCCTGCGTGGGTATCACCACCACGCACACCATGGGGCGGGGGGTGGGGGGCGTGTTTACTTCTAGGCTGGCCCTGGAGGCCGGGTTCCCAGTTCTGGGGATGGGCTCGAGGAGGGTGGCCAGCCTCAGTGACTCCAGCCGAGTCAGAGGACGAGGGGAGGGCTGGCTCCTAGACATGGTGGCTGGGAACACTCCGGCCTGCCTGGGCCCCCAAGGGGCAAGGCGGCTCTGGGAGCTCCACGGAGGGGCGGAGGAGGCAGAGCTCGAGTAGGGAAGAGGGAGAGGAGCGTGGGCGGGAATGGGAAGCAGGGGTCAGCCAGCAGCTCAGGACACGCGTTGTAGAGAAACATTCCCAGCAGTTTCCCATAGAAAAGGCGCGTCTCCTCCCCAGGCTCCAAGCTGGCCCACGGAACCTCCTAGACCTCCTGCTCGCAGGCCTCCCGGCCCAGCTCTGGGGGAGGTCCCTGGAGGGCAACCTTGGGAGGCCAGGCCTCCTGACTTTCCTGCCGCTGACCACACTGGCCCCAGCGTGCTCCTGCTCCCTTCCCCCCACATCGGCACCACCCGGGGAGGGAGGGGAGCTCGGGGAGCTCGGGAACTTCTGGCTACAGCCAGGCAGCAACTCCAGATGTGCACAGCTGGGCCCTGGGGATCTGCCCCAGATCCCCAGGGTGGACGGGAAGCAGGCAAGAGACCTCTACCTGCCAGAGGGGGTGCTGGCAGAGCCTAGAGAACTGCCGGAAGCAGACGGAGGGGCCAGGGAGGGTCAGTTGGGGGGAAGGGGGTTGCCCTCCCACGCCTCTCCCCAGCCTGGCTTCTTCGCTGCTGCCGGAGATGAGTTTGTTTACAGCCAGGAGACAAGACTTCCTGCTTCTAGAGAAAAGGGCTTTTTTTACAGGGGCCTAGAGGGACCGGAGGGGGAGAAAGAGAGAGAGCTGGCCAGTGCACGCCCCAGTGAATCAGAAACACATGGACAGCGTTTCCCGACACGAAGCCCTGTCCCCTCCCCTCTCTTGCCCCAGCTGGACCCCTGGGACTTCCATCTCGCCAAACCCCAAACACGAGGAAACCAGCAGAATCTCAGTCTGCCCATTTCTGCTCCTCGCAGAGTGAGCCGTGAAGGGCCACAGGGGCCCCGCCCCCATCTAGACTTGGGCATCTCGAATTTAGGTCACTCCCCACACCCACCCCCGCCAGACATGAAGGGGATTGTCCCCTCGTCCCTTTGCACACTCTCCCCACCCCCCACCCGGGTCTCCTGAGGGCGGGGTGTGGGCCCCAAGAAGGCATGTCTCCCTGGGCCCGGGGCCTACACACCCAACCTGCTGCTAAGGTTCAAATGGGTTGAGACAGTGGGAGGCAGTTACACAGCAGGGTCTTGGCAGGGTTTCCATCCAGTTTCTCTCATCAGGGAAGCGGTGGTGGGCCAGCACAGGGGCTTTACGGGCAGAGAATGCCTTTGTGTGGCAGGAAGGGTACCCAGCCGGGTCAACCAGAGTGAAGGCATGGGTCTCAGAATTCATAGAAAAAGAGCTGATGTTGGAAGGGTTCTTTGCAGCGTGTGAAACACGTTCACACAGTTGATGTTACTTCAGATGCGATTCACATGGTGGAGAGAAAGACCTGGGGGCCGGGGGGGGGCGGGTGGGGGCGGGACCTGACTTGTCTGAGGCCACCCAGCAGGTTCCTAGCAGAACTGGGGTCTAGTGGGTTGCCTCCAAGCTGCAGTGTGATGGGTCTCTTGGAAGATACTGTCCTGCCTTGCCATCCCCTGATCCCTCCCCGCTGCCCCCCTCCCGGCGTCCCCTGGTCCCACTCCATGCCCCTCCCCCCATAACCTCTCACTTCATCTGCTGTCTCATCCACAGCCCTCCGGCCACGCTGCCCTCTTCGGGGCCATAGGACCCCCCCCTCTCTCCTTCCCCCTCCCAGGCAGCACCCTGAGCCGAAGGCCGAGTTCTGAAGACCCTCCTTGGGTGCCAAGGAAGCTGGAGGAATCCCTGACTCGTCTTCCCAGAAAGAGGCAGCCTCTGCTGTGGCCACGGTCCCCACCGGAGCCGCCAGGAGGTGGCGCTGGCTGCCTGGATGCTGACCCCAGCTCAGTGGCCTGTGGGGATGGGGTACCCTTCCTCCTCGAAGAGTTGGGCCCACCCTTCTTAGCTTTTCTACTCTCTGTCAGAGACCCAGCTGAGCAGCTGGCAGGAGTCCGGGGCAGGTCCGAGTCTCTCCGGGAATAAACCAGCCCCGTTTCTGTCTGCCCGGCCAGCATGCAGGTCCCGTGTCACCTATCTAGAGCATCACGCACACACATCTACCATATATACAGATATATTCTATATACGATCTATATATAAAATATATATATATATATATATATACATACATATCTATACTGTGTATCTGCGGGGCCCAGGGGCCCAGAGGCACTTGGGAAGCTTGGGTTCTGCCCATCTGCGTGCGGGGCAGGGAGGGGTCCTTGTCATGCTTCTGGGCAGAGGACAGAGTGTTGTGGCAGAGATGGGGGTCCCGTGTCGGAGAGAATCTAGGCCTGTGGGCACGGTTGGGGTGACCCGAGGGCCTGGGTGGGCAGGGTTGGGGTGACCCAGCTTTGCCAGCCAAGTCCAGCCCATTCTCTGACCAGCTCCCCACATTCCTGCTTTCCACTTCTAGGTTAAAAAGATTTGGCTTCCCCCGGCCCCCCCCCCCCCCCAAGGATGTGGCTCCCTGACTTGCTCCAGCCCATATGGGCAAGGGCCAGCAGAGGGGCCAGCGTGTGGGACAGGATGCCTGCCCTGGGGGAGGGGCCGTGGTAAAGAAGCCTCGAATGCCAGCCCCATCTGCCTTTGCTGCTTAGGATCCCAGCAGAAGCAGGGGCTCTATGCTACTGTCAGAGGTGACAGGCCAGATGTCCCCATCCCGGGGCTCTGGGGGCCTCGGGCCTCGGGCCTTCCCTCCCCACCTCCCCCCACCCTGGCTGCTGACTGGCAGTTGGTCCTGCCCACCCATCTGGGTCAGAGATGCGGGGGACCCCCCCCCATGTGTGTCCCTTGGTCGTGTACCGTCCTCAAGGGTGTCTGGCTGCTGTGTGGCTGCTGTGCCTGTGTCCCCTCCCGTCCCTCCTCCTGCAGCCGTGCGTCAACTGCCTGCCCTTTTGTAGTTTCTGATGTTTGTAACCAGTCCCAGCCGTGTCATTAAACAGACTCGCTCTTCCCGCGTCTGTGCTTCTCATTCTGTCTTTTCCTGCCAGCTGTCCCTGGCCTCTGCCTCCCCTCCTCAGTTCAGGGCTCAGGGCTTTTCTTGGGAGCCACCCAAGGGCCCGCTCTCCTGTACCTCAGCCTAGGCTGGCCGGGGCTCCTCTGAGTTGGGGCTCACCACGGGAGTGCACGCCCCGACCTGTTTCATCAGGAGCACAGAGCTGGAGACTGGAAGCTGGGCTTTGGGGCTTGTGTCGGGGGCGGGGGTGGTGGGGGAGCCAGCAAGGGTGTTTGTGCTTGTTTTCATTTTTTTGTAACGTTTGTCTATTTTTGAGAGACAGAGTGTGAGCGGGGGAGGGGCAGAGAGACAGGGAGACGGAATCCGAAGCAGGCTCCAGGCTCCGAGCTGTCAGCACGGAGCCCGACGCGGGGCTCAGACCCACGAGCCGCGGTGTCATGACCTGAGCCGAAGTCAGTCGGATGCTCAACTGACGGGGCCACCCAGGTGCCCCTGTGTCTGGTTTCAAACGTCAAGGGGCTTTTAATCTTTGGTTCTGGAACTCTCCTCCCTAAGGAGGATAGAATGAGTGAGAGAGGAATCGGGGAGAGACTTTCAGGAAGAAGGGCCCTTGCTGGTCTCAGGGGCCAGTGAGAGAGCCAAGGATCGGGCCCCCACTTGTCAGACCCGAGCACCCAGCATCCCACACGGGGAGAGCAAAGTGTTCTCCAGTTCCCTGCGGAAGGCCAACCCTCCGGAGTTTGAGAAAGGAAGTCTGTTAGTACCAACCTGACACCCCTAGCCCTTTCCCTGCGCTCTCCACACCCACCCCTCCCCAAGCTTTGTATCCTGTATCCCACAGCCTCAGGCTGGCCTGCCCAGCCCCCACACGCAATGGAAGCAACAGCCAGAGCATCAGCTCCCCAAGGAGGGGTGGGGAGGTCACCACCCCTGGGTGGGCTGCAGGAGAAGCAGGAAGCCGCCTCCGCCCCTTGGGAGGACTCCTGGCTGCCTGGGAAGATTCAGCTGACAGACAGGAAAAGTTTTATCTCCCAGACCATGAACTCCTTGAATGCAGGCTATGCCTTCAATCTCTTGGGCCTGGGACAGCAGAAGCGCTCAGTAGAAATCCAGAGACTAAATGAATTCCACTCATAGAAAGCAAGACCCGTACACGGGGCCAAGAGTGAGCTGTGTGCATGAGACGTAAGTGCGGGGTGGAGAGGACGTCAATGGGGCAAGGCCTTCCCAGGGAGGCTGTGTCCCGGGGATGGAGCGCTGGACTCCCGGGGCCAGCCTGTTTCCTAATGCTGTGTGACTTTGGGCAAGCCGTTTCGCCTTTCTGGGCTGCGTGGTCACCTCTAACTTAAGATAGGAGTGAGGGGAGCCTGGGTGGCTCCGTCGGTTGAGCGTCTGACTCTTGATTTCGGCTCAGGTCATGATCTCACGGTTCGTGAGTTCGAGCCCCACGTCGGGCTCTGCGCTGACAGTGCGGAGCCGGCTTGGGATCCCCTCTCTCTCCCTCTCTTTCCTTCCCCTGCTCATGTTCTCTCTCTCTCTCTCAAAATGAATAAATAAAAAATAAAGTAAGTGAACAAGGTAGGTACCAGGAGGAAGAGGACAGAAGCCAGCCACGGCACTGGGGACGTAAGAGCTGCTCGGGGCAGGGTGACCTGACTGTCAGGCCATCGGAAGCAGCAAATGGAAGGAGGCGAGAGGGCGGACTGGCCAAGTTGGGTCTTGAGAGAGGAGGGGCGGAGATGGAAAGAGGAAGGCAGTGAATGAAGGAGGAAACTCTCAGGAAGCAGGACAAAGGGCAGCGAGGTGGCCTGAAGGACCCTGAGGGGCTCAGGCTGAGCCAGAGCCAGGGTTGGGGGCTGCAGGGCCGCGAGAGGAAAAGGGGCATCTGCGGGCGGGGCGGGGCGGGGGAGAGCCTCTGGGAGGAAAGACACCCCTTCCTTCACTTCACTTAGTGAAGGGGCCTCCGAACCCAGCAAAACTGGAATCATTCTGGAACGTGGCCCTTGAGAAAGTTTATCTCGGCTCCCCACCACCTAGAGAGGGGGCGCAGCCAGTGAGCGACTCCCCCCAGACCTGGGCTAGAGATGCTGCTGGACAGGGGTGGGAAGTGGGGAGTGGGGTGGGGGAGGGACAAGTCCAACTTACCGCCAACTGGGCAGAGCCCAGGTGTCCCCGCTGGGCTGTCCCCAGGGTAGGGGAGCAACGTCTGGGCTTTTGTGCTCTACACTCAGGGATAGCCTTGTCGCTGAAGAGCTAAGCAACTGGGCCAGCTCCCCCTGGCGCTCTCGGGCTGTGAGTGATGGGGTGTCAGGAACCAGGAACGGGGGTGCCCAGGCTCCGGCTCCTTCCCCGCCAAGCCGTCCTGGCCACGCGGCCCCACAGCGCCCCCTGCTGGCGGATGGGCGAGACCTTCACCAGAGGCCGAGCACTGTGGGCCAGCGACCTTCCCTTTCCTACTTCCCTTTCTCTGTGGGCCCGCCTTCCTCCCTCGCTTTAACGGACATAATCTGAGGCAAAAAGGAAAAATGTGAGCCCTCCCACCTGTATGTGAAAATATCCTCCCATAGTTTGAACCAAGCGGTAAAAGTTAAATGCTCTATTAAAAAAAAAAGCAGACTGGGGCGCCTGGGTGGCGCAGTCGGTTAGGCGTCCGACTTCAGCCGGGTCACGATCTCGCGGTCCGTGAGTTCGAGCCCCGCGTCGGGCTCTGGGCTGATGGCTCGGAGCCTGGAGCCTGTTTCCGATTCTGTGTCTCCCTCTCTCTCTGCCCCTCCCTCGTTCATGCTCTGTCTCTCTCTGTCCCAAAAATAAATAAAAACGTTACGAAAAAAATTAAAAAAAAAAAAAAAAAAAGCTGACTAGGGCACCTGGGAATGTGTGAACCCCGAAATAATTTCAGACCAGCGAGGACAACAGTCTTGGGGGTAGGAGGGAGCGCCTATAGATGGGCCTCATCTGTTCTCCTGCAACGGCCTCAGAGATACTCCTCATGACCCTATTTTAAGGCCCAAGGACTGGGTTCAGTTAACAGCTTGCCCACAGTCACAGAGCAAGAACTCCAGAGCCCAAAGTCCGAGCCCCTCAACAACTCAGCAGAGAGAAGCAGAGCGAAGCACACGGAACAGAGCAAGAAGCCATCCCCCCTCGCCTGGAATCCTGGCCTGAACCCGTGGCCTGGCCTGCTCACCACTCTGCTGCTTTCATAGATAGTCTGTCTCCACCTAGCAGCTGGGCAATGCTTTCTCGAATCTTTTTGGCCCCAGCGCAGACCTTCCAAAGGCCTCCAGGTCCTGGACAGCCCTCTGGGGTCTAGAAGGCCCTATAGAAGCAACAGCTAATAATGGGGGAGGTTATGGAAGTCGGTAAAGGAGGTGGGGTCTGAGACTTTGGGGAGAAGCGAAAAGGCCCCACAGAGCTTCAGGGAGAGAAGTGGCAGTGAGCGGTCACAGACCTGAGGTTCTCAGTTTCTCTTTCCCGAACTGAGATCTGGGCCGATGGTAGGAGTCCCCCTGTTCCCAGCTCGGGAGGAGTGGTGGGACCCAGACTCTGGTAAAGACTTTGGGAGCCTGAGGGACCAAAGCTTTTCAGAACAGCTTTCGTGTTTCTCAGGACAGAGTGTGGGTAGCACCATTTCAGACGGGCGTCAGGAGATACGCACCGGTCCAGATTTGCCCTGCCTTACTGTGCGACCGTGGGCAAATCTCTCCTGTGCTAAGCCCCGGTGATGGCAGCCCCAGACGAAGGGCCAGGTGACCACTGCAGTCCACGGGCTCTTGAACTCTTCCCTTTTCTGCTGAGCCCAGAGTCTCCCCTGAGAGTTACTTCAGGGGGCCCCAGGGAACTGAAAGCCCTAGAGGTGACTACGAGCCCCCCTGAGAACAGAGAGGGTCTGGGCACCAGGCCACAGCGAGGGTTCCGGGAAGGCAAGGACCAGGCCCCAGGAGGAAGAAGAATGCAGAACAAGGATTTCTTTTCTTTTTTTCTTCCTCCTTCTCTATTTTTCTTTTTCAATTACATAAATATACATTTATATATTCTCGTTGTAAAAGAGTCTAGAAATACCTATGAATTTTTGAAATTTTATTAAAAATTTTAAAAAATGTCTTTATTTATTTCTGAGACAGAGAGACAGAGTGTGAGCGGGGGGGTGGGGGGGGGTGGCCAGAGAGAGGGAGACACAGAATCTGAAGCAGGCTCCAGTCTCTGAGCTGTCAGCACAGAGCCTGATGTGGGGCTCGAACCCATGAACGGTGAGATCATGACTTGAGCCAAAGTCGGAAGCTCATTGGACTGAGCCACCCAGGCGCCCCTAAATTTTATTTTAGAGAGAAAGCATGCCTTTGTGTGCATGAAAGTGGGGGAGAAGGAGAGGGGGAGAGAGAGAGAGAAAGAGAGAGAGAGAGAGAGAGAGACAGAGACAGAGACAGAGAGAGACAGAGAGAATCTTAAGCAGATTCCATGCTCAGCACAGAGCCCATTGCAGGGCCCGATGGGGGGTTCCATCCCATGACCATGGGATCATGACCCGAGCTGAAATCAAGTCTGTGAATTTAAAGTAAAATAGAACAGTCTCTCTCCAGGGACTCTATAGAGTATAAGCTGCCCGAGAACAGCCCCCACTTGCCAGCTGCAAAGCCTTGAGCAGGCGACTTGCATTTATGGTGTCTCAGTTACTCATCTGTATAATGGGCTGTTGGAGGATGGAATGAATTCACCCATATACAGAAAGCATTTGCACCGTGCCTGGTGCTCATGGGGCATCTTGAATAATTTATGTAAATGGGGCCACAAGGAACGATGGGGGACACATATATGGCATGTCTCCTCTGCTCACGTACACAGCACATCGTCCCATTGGTTCACTTACAAAACACAAGTTCAAAGACAAAAGTAGCGACAGACTACAGGGCATTAAATCTAGCACAGAGCCCTTCTGAGCACAGGGCCCTGTGCTGCTGTCCAGGTCACATGCCCATGAAGCTGGCCCTGCCTCTCTGGACAA